TAATATTAAAATAATATAAAAATAAATATCAATTATAATTAAAAGAATATAAAAAAAAATTAAGAATGTTAAAGCCCGGTGCTACGCACCGGGTTAGAGACTAGTAAAAATAATAGATACAAAACCACCATAGGTGCGTTTTATAATAATGATTTAAAATATTACAATACAGTAATTACAGGTTAAAATTTTTTGTCGTTACTGCTAGTAAACGGTTAGCAAAAAATGTTAGAACTTGAGACAGCTTATTCAGTCAACGTCACTCCAAGTGACAATTTACTAAAAATATAACGTAACTCTAACCGTCGCTGTCGGTGAGACAGTACGGTTCGGAACCGGTTTTGGCGTTAATAAGTTTTAGCCGGTTCCAAATCTTGTTGGAACGCTTTACAAATAAAGAATACAGACTTATATCTGTCATAAATGTCATTTTCTGACTTTAATTTCAGTACACCCTTTTCCACAATGCACATCTAACAAATCTATTACATTTTCTTGTTGGCAGTAATTCAAGAAGTTTCTAATATTACGTATTCCACTACGTAAGCAGTTATATGTTATGCGTTACGATGATCATTTACTGTACTGTTATAAATAGTGATAAAACTCGAACATTTACCGTTACAATTCCTGAAATAATGGCTTCTTATTTTGGTATATACCGATATATTTATCGTTAATTATTTCAGTTTTCGCACTTACAATGATTCTAATTTCTTTTCAAATTCAGATGAAAAAGGGTTGCCAGATCCAACATTTAAGAAAAAATCCACCTCATCCAACAATAATAATTTAAATCCTGACGTTTCCAATTTTTTTGGTACAAGTTCAGGTACTAATTCTGGTTCGTCAAATAATTTAGGTGACGAAAATGCATATGAAACTTTAGAAGAATACTTTAATTTGGCAAAGTAAGAGCATTTAAATTTTTCACAGTAATGATTATTTCCTTTTTATTTACGCGCAATTTGTCTTTTTATAAGTCTCTTCGGTACATTAAGAGACAGAACAAATAGTAGGGCTAATGAGGGTAATCAAGAATTCTTAGATAATTTGATTTCACAATTATTGGAAGAGGCCAATGCAAGGTAATAATCAAACAATTGCCATATCATATCATATTTTAATTTTACGCATGATTAAATTAAGTATCAATAGTTCAAAGGGACCCCCACCAGCTAGTAAATTATTTATTCAAAATTTGCCGATTGTTAATAAATCAGAAATTAAATCCGGTATTAAAACTATCCAAGCTCAATCATATAAATCTTTTCTGTTATTATTAAAAAATTGTTAATTTGTATTTTTTTTTTTTTAAAAAAAAAAAAAAGATGATACATGCCCAATATGTGCAGAAAAATTTTTATCAAATACGACTCCAAATAATAGTGTAACTCGTATGCCATGTAAGCATATGTTTGATAAAGAATGTATTTTACCTTGGTTGAAACTTGTAAGTCTCCTTTAATATGTCTCATTCAGTAGGTTCGCATTCAGTTTTAATGTTGAATGATTTCAATTTCAATTTTTTTGAAAAAAAAAGCATAATACATGTCCAAGTTGTCGTCATGAAGTAGAGTCTGATGATCCAACTTGGAAAAAAAAGCAATTGGAATTACAAAGAGCTCAAGATTCTGAAGAAGAAGATCCGGATTGGATGTATGGTTAATTTGTTATGGTTATTTAACATTCATAAAAATGTGGTCTTGGAAATTTAGTCTACATAGATTTTAGTATGAATTTTATTTTGTCATCTTTGTATTTTTTTTTCTGTTATTTCATAAGCATTGTTTGTATGTTTACTCATCACTACTGTTTCATAGTTCTCGGTTGAAATAATAATATAATGTAATGTTATCAATCACGGCTAAAATTCCAGCAATTGATAATTATTTCAGTCATTAAAGCAAATTTTTATTAGGTTCAATTTTTGAGTCGGTATGCAGTCAACTTTAATGTCGTTAATGAACATTGTTCATTAAATTTTAATGACAAATAAACGAATAAACAATGTTCATTGGTTATTTATTTGCTCATATGGCATAGTATATAAATATAGTAACCATTATGAAATAATAATTGAAAATAAAAAAAGATTAAAGTATAAAAAAATAGGTTTTTTTTTTATTGCCTCGTTCTGGTGGCAAAAGCGATCTACTTTTTTAATGCAATATTTGTGGACTGAAGAGAGAAGTGAAATATAAAATAAATTGCTAACCTTTAAAGGTTGGCATTTTATAGCGCAAAGCTTGTTTCTTTGCATTCTTTACACTATTTAATTCGTAGAAATCGGTAAAAATTTTCAAGACTGCTATAGGGTTTTAGATGAAATTTTTATAAATAATGAGTTAAATCGCGTGAATGTTAAGTAATATACGTATGTTGAAGATAACACCTATTTAATATAAAACTTCATTTCTCCCGACAACCATTTCACGACAATTAAGGTTGAGTTGGCGTCGGTAGATCGAGGAAATAACTATCGACATAACGAGTGAACCCGTAAAATTTAGGTATTGTTTATATGGGCTCTTATGCGATGTAATCTCATAACAAAAGACATTTCGTACACATAGATATTCAATTTGTAAGTCTCACGTAAAATTAATATATAATTAAATAGATACTCGAAATTAACGTGTCTTGGTAGTATAGTTAAGGTTGCCTGGTTTAGGTTTAGAAGTCTATGTGATCTTTGTATTATTTAAATATTTTACCATTTTACAGTATAGCCTGTTGTTTGCGCTAACAACTTTTTTAAAGAAACTCCATGATACATGAAATAAAATACATGAAAATTCATGCATGAGCATTGTATGAAGATGCGGACATTGTTTTTTTTTAATGTTGCTGTTATTATCTTAATCATTCAACCAATTTCATCTATTAATTTATTTGATTTGATAAGTTTCATCTAACTTCATGTATGCAATACTCATAACAAAACTTGATAAAAATATAAACTAGCAACGTCATTGTTTTTAGACCAACATGTAAAACCTATCAGATAAACTTTATATTACTTACGATAAAACATTAAACTAAGAAACTAAAAAAATTATTTGAGCATTGTTTTTTTTTTATTTAGCCAATGATAAAAATATTTTAATGATTATCTATCTGGTTCTTGCATTTTATATTCGTTTATAGTTATATAATTATATCGCATTATAAAGTTCATCGAACTTAATAAAAGTATACCCAGTAGTAACAATATGTTAATTAATAATTATAATGCTAAACGGCTTTTTTAACCAACCAGCCTATATAGACAATTTGGATCGAAATAGTTAAATTTATATTTACATATAATTAATTAAATATCTTGCATATTTTTTTGAGTAAGCATTTAGAGAACATTAAACTGAGATCATTATAAAATAATGAAGTAATAGATTTATACCTTCAAAGTAATTAACTCAATAATCTAAACACCAATATAAAATAATTGATAAATTTGTTTAATTATGAATACTGTAAATTTAATATATTACTTACCGGGAGGAACTTCAACAGAACCGATAGGTTTACTTGGTAAATTTGCTAATATAGCATAATTAGGTTTAAACGAATGAATAAGAAATAGATAATATAGCATAATTTTAAAATAAATACCTTTAATTACGTTTGATATTCTTTTAGTATTTATTATTTTGCTAGTGTACATAGAATCTGGATGTTTTGGTGAGATAACTGGTAATTCCTTGATTATTTTATCAGCATCTAGGAATTGCTTTTTAATTTCATTTGCTTCATCTGAATCTGAATATTCATCATTTATGATTTTATGCCATTTATTAAATTTATCCCAAATGTCACTAGCAGTAGGCCGTTTTTGTGGAACTGAATTCATGCATTGCTTAGCTAATTCAATATAGCAATCTGGAGTCCCAGGTGCAAAATCAGGTCGCAATCCTTTGCATATATCTAATGAAAGACTAAGATCAAATGGGCGACCATCAAAAGGTCTTTGTCCAGTTGACATCTCTGACATAATAACTCCGAAGCCATAAATATCTGCAGCTGATGTAAACTTCTGTCCCAATAAAACCTCTGGAGAGACATAAGGCAAGACTCCATAAATACCACCTTCTGAATCATTATCATTTGTTTTTCTAGACATTCCTAGATCTGAGATGTAAGATTGCATAATTTTACTAACGCCTTCATCTTGCAAAATATTACCACTGTGAAAATCTGCATGAATATATCCTGCTTCATGAATTTCATTTAAATCACCTGAAATATCTTCAAGTAGTTTTAATTTAATTTGCCAGGTAAGATCTCGAAATTTCATTCTTAAAAACTTATGAAGACATCCATTATCGGCATATTGGAATACCATTAAGTATTCATTTGTTTCCGTGTTTTGAGTTAATCCATATATATTAAGATAACTACCGTATAATCTACATTTCATATGATCGTCAAACTTTGCAAATTTATTGAAATGAATTAGTTCAATACGTGTTTAATTAAGTACAATTATTTAACTTACCTCTTTCAAAAAATCATTAGGACTTTCCTTGGAACCAGATAAGGTCTTGAGTGCAACGGTGCTAGATGGTTCACGCGATCTTATACCTTCATAGTTATCATCATAATTAATATTTCGTATACCATCTAACCAGGTCGCAGAAAATACAGAGCTAAACCCTCCTTCGCCAATTTTTTTAATATTATTTAGTCTATCAAATGGAATCCATTCAATCATACATTCATAAATAGAAGATCTAAGTTGAAGCCCTTTCATGCAATTATCAATATCCTTATTTCCACTTGTCCATTCTCGAATCGTTATATCTGGATCACATGTCTGACACCATGCATAAAACGTATTATATTCATTACAATATGCACATTTTCCATAAGATGATCTCCTTTATAATTTTATAATTATTGATTGTATTATATTAGTTATCATTTACTCTTAAATTTAAATGCAAATAATTTTATACTCACCGTCTAATTAACACGGATAAAATAAATTAATAGTAAATATTCATGGACTTGAATAGCTTATTTTAAATAGTTTGATTAATAAATGTTCTTTATACTCACTCCCTAAATTAAGGCGAGTAAAATAGTAAATATTCATATATCGAATAGCTCATTTTAAATACTTGGATTAATCAATGTTCTTTATACTCACAGTCTAAAAAAAGGTTTAGTAAACATACATGAACATAAATAGCTTATTTTAGATACTTAGATCAATAATTGTTCTTTATACTTACAAACTAAATTAACGTGAATAAAATGTAAATTAAATAGTAAATATGAACTTGAATAGCTTATTTTAAATACTTGGGTTAAAAAATGTTCTTTATACTCACACGCTAAATTAATGCATTAAATAATAAATATTCATGAACTTAAATAGCTTATTTAAGTATTTAGGGTAAATGAATGTTCTTTATACTCACTTGCTAAAATTAGCGCGAATAAAATAAAATTAAATAGCAAATATTCGTGAATTGAATAGCTTATTTTAAATACTTAGATTAATAAATGTTCTTTATACTCACCTCCTAATTAATGCGAATAAATAAAATTAAATAGATGAATGGCTTATTTTAAATATTTAGATTAATAAATATTCTTAATACTCACCCGCTAAATTAACACGAAATAAATGGTAAATACTCATGAATTTGAATAGTTTATTTTAAATATTTAGATTAATAAATGTTCTTAATACTCACCCACTAAATTAACACGAATAAAATAAAATTAAATGGTAAATATGCATGAACTTGAATAGTTTATTTAAATATTTGGTTAATAAATGTTCTTTATACTCACGAACTAAATTAACGCGGATAAGGTAAAATTAAATAAGTATTAATGAACTTGGATAACTTATTTTAAATACTTAGATTAATAAATGTTCTTTATGCTCACCGACTAAATTAACGCGAATAAATAAAATTAAATAATAAACGTTTATGAACTTGAATAGCTTATTTAAATATCTATATTAATAAATGTTTTTATACTCACAATCTAGAAGTAATTAAATAGTAAACATTCATAAACTTAATAGCTTATTTTAAATCTTAGATTAATAAATACTCTTTATACTCACATACTAAATTAAGGTGAATAAAATAAAATTAAGTAGTAATATTTATGAACTTGAATTGTTTATTTTAAATATTTAGATTAACAAATGTTCTTTATACTCACCTTATTTAATGCGAATAAATAAAATTAAATAGTAAATATTCATGAATTGAATAGCTTATTTTAAATATTTAGATAAATAAATGTTTTTAATACTCACGCGCTAAATTAACACGAATAAAATAAAATTAAATAAGTATTAAAGAACTTGAATAGCTTATTTTAAATTCTTAGATTAATAAATGTTCTTTAGTATACTCACAAACTAAATTAACATAAATAAAATAAAATTAATAATAAATTTTCATGAAGAATTTATTTAAAATATTTAACCTAACAGATGTTCTTCACTTACGGACTAAATTAATGTGAATAGCCCGATTTTGAGCAAATTATTTAAATAGAAATTATCATTAACTATTGTAATCAAACCGATTTTTATAATTTATATAATTGATGATTATTATACTTACTCCCTAAAGGATTAAAGAATTCTAATTTAAAATGTAAAATTCAAATATATTATATTAATGATAAAATTAA